AGGAACAATTGAGTAACAATTAAATTAAGGAGTCTTAAAACTAGTAGAGTTTGAGAGAGTCTGATTTATTAAATATATTGTTAAAGTAACAACTTCTTAATAACATAATAACATGTGTGCCTTAATCAATGAATCACCACTAACTTTTAACAAATGTCAATTTTTTATTTATTTAGGTAACCCATTTTGTTGAGGTGTATTGAGAGAAGTAGTTTAATTAATAATTCCATTAACTTTTAAATATTACTAGAGTTCACAATTTTTATACTCCCACTATTATCACGGTATAAAACTTGAATTAAATATTATATTGAGTCTTTTCAATTTTATGAAATTTTTAAATAATACACTTACCTCATTGTTTGATTTCAATTAAATATAACTAAGATTCTTTGTGTAGGTCTCTAAATTCCCAAATTCATGACATTTATTGTATAATAAAAATATTTTCAATACTAATGAGTATTGTGATAATCATGCATAATTAATATATATATATATATATATATATATATATATATATATATATATATTGTTTGATTTCAATTAAATATAACTATGACTCTCTTTGTAAAGGTCTAAATTCCTAAATTCAAGACGTTTATTGTATAACAAAAATATTTTTTATACTAATGAGTATTATGATAATCATGCATAATTAATAATTAATATATATATATATATATATATATATAATTACATATAATATTACATTAAAGGTCCAATAATTAGTATTAAAATATATATAATGTACTACATAAAATATCTTAGTAAGAGGCCTATAATTATGACTTATTTGTACTTTACATCTTAGATAATTCTATACTATCCATATATTTTCTTTTTTCTTATATTAATTTAAGCATCAAACTATTTTACAGTGAACTTTCCTCTTTTTTTAGCATTAAATCGAGTTCGATCCAATAAAGGTTGTCTAAATTGGCCTATCCGAACTTATTTTAAATATTGTAATTTTTTGTAAGAACATTTAATTGGCCTGTAGGCAAAGGTAAAAATTTTCTTAACCACATAAATCACATAAACATTGATTTTCAATATCATCTTATCAAATTTTCAAGAAATTAAAAATATTAGTTCCTCTCAAAGAATGAATATATATTTTTATATCATAAATCTTTTGAAAGCCCTACATAAAAGAAATAAAATTTGAGTCATCTAAAAAACATAGTTATATATGTTATCAAATCTTAAGAGATTTATATTACTCTTCCAAAATTATATTCTGATGACAAAAATAAGATACAAATGTCATAATTAAAAAAATATTCATGTAAAGTAAAAAAAGTCTCATTTATCTTATCTATTATAAGATAATTACTTATCTCAACTTTTCAAGTATGGCTTTTATATATATATATATATATATATATATATATATATATATATTTTTTACCACTTCACCTAATGTTAATTGATTTTATAATTTTCTATGTGATGTTTATGATTTTGCATAGAACTTTGCTTTCATAAATTTTAAATAAAGTTACTCATAGGCATGTGTTTCAAATTATTCAGTGATAGAGGAATAATTTTTCTTCTCTTTTATTCAATTACTCTTATACCAAATTTTGTGATCTAAAAATAAGATATACTAAAAATTTGATATTTTGTCTTACCATTCATATTATTACGTTGTATGATCATGTTATATAAAACATTATATTATAAATATCTATCTTAAGAGAATTTTTATTTTGGCACAAAACAATGTCATTATCATGCAACATATCTTATCATGCAATATAATGCATATATTATCATGTAATATAATGCATATAAGATATTTTAATTTCCGATTTTTTGTTAAGGTACATAATAACAATTGTGAGATAACGATCTATATTTTCCTTAAGATCATGCTTTTAATTCTTTTATTATTATTATTTTTTTTTTTACTACGACACAAACTATTATTACATGATATTAAGATCATTAATTTCATTTTATATAAAAAATATTCATTTATGATTATATACAATATTATCATTTATTGTATTATAATATATGTCAATTTGTCATTATAGGATATTAATATCACAAATTCATATATATTTGTAAATTTACAAATAATTGAATTCCAATACGAAAGAACCTTATGATTTTAATATTAATATAATTTTAATACTACCTTGATATGATCTAATATAAAATATGTCAACCTATCCACCTATCAGAATATTAGAGCGATGAGATATAACTATCACAACATGTTATCATCATTAAACATAGTTATCATAGCTAAATATAGTTATCATAACACGTTATCATTAAACATAACTATCACAACATGCCAATATTTTCACCTAGTAGAATCTAGTGTGAAAAAATAAAACTTTCGTAGCTCATCAAGTTTTTAGTAAAAGTTAAATAAGATGGAGTCTTAGTAACTCATCAAAAAAGTTAAATAAAATGGATCATTCCTAACTCATCTTAAACAAATAAAAAGACTTAATTCAACTTTATATCAAATTATCCAACTTATACATTAAAGTCAAACTAAAAATTATTATCCGAGCATGTCATTATGTATACCATTTAATATCATCAAATCAAATACATTACCACAAATATAGAACAATCATCAAAGATCATGTTATTATCCAAGAATCATACGTCTATAATGTGAACTTGATAGTCCTTGTATATTTCAGAAAGATATTTCTATATTTTACATAACTCGGTTATAATTCTAAATCAATCACACGTCGATCAGAGTTATACATTGAGCACACCTCAATCATTGTTCTAAATAAAATCCACTTTGATCTTAATAAATTGTTGGTTTGAGTAAAATATAACTCAATAAAGCAATTGTCAAGAAAATTTATAGGTGTTAAATCGACTTGATCACATCTGCAAATAAAAAGAATAATAATATTTATTCATAACTCAAATAAGTCTTATAAAATTTCATAAATGATACTTAATTAATCTATTCGTCTATATTAAAGTTAGACTTTAAGATCTCCCTATTTGACTTTCCAAATTCATGGCATTCATTGTATAACAAAAATATTCTCCATAAAACTAATAATAATAATAATAATAATAATAATAATAATAATGACAATAATAATGCAATAAATATACATAATTACATATAATATTGCATTAAAAATCCAATAATTAACATTGAAATAAGTTTACTACCTAAAATATCATGGTAAGAAACTTATAAATAAGACTTCTTTACTCTTTACATTTAAGTCTCATTTAGAGAATTCTCTATTATCTATATATTCTCTTTTTTTTTTTTATATTGAATTAAGCATGAAAGTACCTTTACACCAACTTGTTGAACTTTATTTATTATTATAATTTATTAGTAAGAGTATTTTGTTAATTCACAAACATAACATTTAAAATAAAAAACATCATGTTTTTTTACATAAAATAGGAAATAATTAAAAAAAACAAATAAAGCATGACAACAAATTTTAGATATTTTATTTTCAACCTTAGTCAATGTTTATTATGACTTATCAATTCTTTTTGAAAGATCTAGTAGTTAATATAAGTTTCATATCTTAATATTATTTGATTGTTTTGTTTTGATATATTTAATAACATAAAATTTAGGCCAAAAATTTATCACTAAAAATAGATAAGTTATTATTTAGGAAATAAATAAAAAATTAAAATTTAAAAAGAAACGATCAAAATAAAATCAAGATTTAAAATGCTAATAAGATTAAAAGATTCATCCCCAATAATTTAGGTTTTATTTTCATTTACAATAGAAACATATTTTTATATAAATGATTTAATTTTAGTAACTTTTCTAGGATCAAATATTTATAAGTCATTCATGTATTATGAAAAATATTAATAATCTTACTAGGATGATTGATATTTATGTTTACTTCTATTGTAAATACATTTTTATTTTATTTAACAATAAATATCTTATTCATTTTATTTAACAATAAATATCTTATTTTTTAATTAATGTATTTCATTTATATCATTATAACGTACTTTTTCAAATAATCTTGAAAATTTATTAAGTATCAATAATAACTAATTTCGTTCCAAATCTTTCAATCTTAATAATCTTCCTATCCTTTACTTGATTTGATTATTTTTAATTGAATGAGAGGCAAGTAGTCAATCTAGTTTACTTTCCCTGGTCTTGCAGAGATTAATCACCAATAGCCAAATGCAGAATGATTGATAAGCATCAAAGATAACTAAAAGTATCCAAAATCTAATATGAACTACACAGAAAATGTTTCATGACACCAAAAATACTCTGTGAAAAAGAAAAAAAAAAAAAAGCTTTTAAAGATAATTCGTTATGAAAAATTTTAACAACTTCTGAAAATAAATAAAAAGAAAGAGCATTTTAATGGCACAGAAAAGAAGAGGTTAAAATCTAAGTTTAAACGTCACAAAACAAACAGAACTATTTCCATCAATTAACTCAAGCAAAGAAAGAAAGTTTGATGGTGAAGGAAGTTTAACACTAAACATAGTATTTAGCAAAAACACAAACTCATTTTGAGCCTCACACACAAAAAGATCCTCCTTTTGTGTCCCTGTATAAAGTTTGACCTTTCTTACATCTTCTTGTCTTCCATTTTCAGTCACAAACTTCATTTGTTTCTTCTTGTCATTGTCTCATCATCTCCTCTTCCTAGTTCTGGTGGCACCCTTCATCTTCAATAAATACAACTCGGAGATTGAACGTGGAGGGCACCGATCTAGATTCTTGAAATCATATGTTAGAAGTTGAGAGGATGAGGCAGTTGATGCTCCTGTGGTGCAGAAATTCTAAATAACAGTCTTTTGTGGGTGGAAACCACAGCGCTGCCAGGTTTTGCAGTTGCGGAGTTTCTCTTTTTATTAGGTTTTTACTTTGTTAGAAATTCTACTTCTCTATGCAGCAATAGCGCAACTGGGGTATCTTCATTTTGCACAATTACCCAATCACTATCAATCTTGATAACTGTTTGTCAAAGTAATTTTATTTTGCTAAGATGAAAGTGGCCAAGGAACATTTGCACGATGGAAGAAAAATGACTCTCGAACCCCAAACTTTCCTCGTTATTAGTATTTCCAAAGCACTCGTTATGCGCATTTTGTCTCGCTCCTTATTCTTTGCCATGGTCCTTGCCTCCTTTCATTTCTTGGTTTATTCCAGGACGAGTTCTGTTCCCAGTTCCGAGCCCGTTGCATATGGCTCTCTCGATGCGGAACTACTGAATTTGATGCTCAATGATTTCTCCAATGAGGGTCTCCTCAAAGATAACGACATGGCACTCCTTTACAACTCTCCTGTTCCCAATGACTTTGACAATAAGATTCATGTTCTCATGGACTCTGATTCGGAGAGAAAGAGGTTGCTCGCAGAGGAATCTTACGATTTTGTGTTCACGTACGATGCTATTGATGCCGAGTTTATTGACCGCATTCTGAAAATCGACGGCATTGTAGCTTTTCCCTTGGAGGCACCGTCAAATTCTGCTTTCAAAGAACAGAGTAATTACAAAGTTGTTGACATTAAGCAACATGATTTTGTTATTGTTGTGTTGAAGAAAACTGGGCCAGCTGTTAGGTTGGTAGATTTTGACTCTTTCTCTAAGAGGAAGCTTTTGGCGGCAGAGACAAAGGCCGGGAACAAGATAGTTGCATTGGAGGGTCTCGAAGATGTCCATTTGGAGCCTCCGAAAAAATCTTTAGTTAAATCAAGAAAGTACTTGAACAATATAAGGTATCTACCTGACTTGGTGGGTGATTCTCTTGAAGGGTACAATCGGAGAGTGTTCATTAGTGTAGGCTTGCATGAGGAGGTCAAGAGTGCAATGGAATGGTTCGAAAAGCACTACCCCAAGAAGAATAAAAAGTTTGAGACTCACAGCCTCGTGGCTGAGTCTGATGACCTTTTTGATGTTTCTACTTGGTTATCTAACAATGTGAAAGAGGAAGAGTATGTGGTGATGAAGGCAGAAGCAGAGGTTATTGAGGAGATGATGAAGAAGAAGACAATAGGTTTGGTGGATGAACTCTTCTTAGAGTGTAAGAACAATTGGTGGCAGATGGGGGTAGTAACGAAGAAGAAGAGGAATATAAGAGCTTATTGGGAATGTTTGGCTTTGTATGGAAGGGTAAGGGATGAAGGAGTTGCGGTGCACCAATGGTGGGGTTATTGAATATCGAATGTTTAAGCTTTTAGTTAGTTTAATCTTTCTATGATGAGCCTGTTGTTGGGTAATTATTTTGGTTCCCTGTTATCTCGCGGGTTCAATTTTCAGTAATTATCGTGGTGATACACAGACACCTTAACGTGTCTAACACCGATTAGACATGTGTATATGTGGCACATTATCATCTTTTTAGGTTGGCTTTTCTTTTATTTGTTGTTGTTGAAAGAATACAAAAACTGAAGTTCTGGAAAATCTAAACTTGGCTCGCTTACCTTCTTTCTGAGATCACATTCTCTGTATAGGGTGGACAATCTAAGATGTAGTCCTCTTCTGTCTGGTGAGATTCTGATGGTGCTTCTTTCCTTCTCTAGTGTGAGACTTGTGGCGGTATTCCATTACCTGATTTGAAAATCGTTACGCTCTTTCGTTCTCCACTGTAAGAAAATTTTCTCTTTATTAGCTAGGGTTACTCGTTATGTTCCATCTCTTGTTCAAAGTGTATATTCTTTTTACACATGCAATGTAAATCAGTGCTTTGGATGTACTGATGGGTTTGTGTCAATCAGAATGAATGATTTTCATTTCTTGTGGGTGTATTAATTGGATGAAGATTATGGATTTCATTGATTCATATTATTTTTAATAACTTGAAACATTGTTTTAATTTGTTTACTAACTTATGTTTCATTTTTTATATTAAATTTTTAACATCAGGAGTTAGGTGGAGGGATTGTCAATCAAATTTAAGAATAAGAAAACATGCCCATGCCCTGATAGTGTAATTGGCGGTTAGTAATCTCTTCTTTAAACAATTATTTATATGTTTAAAGTTTTTGTAAAGTTAAAAATTATATTTAAATTTGTAATTTATTTTTTACACTCTTATATGCAGGTGAGCAAAGCATATCTATCAATTTAACTTCTTCGACATGAAGATTATGCGTTGTTGAACGCATTTTTATGTTAGGAGTTAGTTATTGTTGGTTCATTATCTCTTTTAAACCTCTTTGTATAAATGGTTCTTTCATGACTAAGAGAGAGTGAAATGTTTGTAATTTGTAGAGTGTTCAGCGTATTTCTCTAATAAGAGAAAAAAAAATGTACCTACTAATTAAAATTTATAAAGCAAATATTTGTGTAAATTAATTTACATGGTTTTTTAGGTGAAGAATAACTACGAAAAGAAAATATGTTATTTGTCAATAAGATAATTATAACATGTTTCAACGATGTATCTTTAAGAAAAATAATTATAGATTTGTAAAAGTTGTAAAACTTTTCTCGTTCAACTGACGAAGTTTTTATATCATAATTTTGTAAAATAATCTTTAATTATGCCCCATACAGATTATTCTAATTCTCTTCTTTATCTATCACTATTGTCCCTTAGTGTATTTCCATTTTCCATCACAAAAAATAATTATGAAAGTCATCTTCATGAAATACACAAAATGTGTTTGACATTCTTCAAATGCAACTTGCACCCAATATTACTCTTTATCTAAATATCTCAAATCCTAACAATCTTGTTTACCCCTTGATTTCCCATTTTCACATGTCAAAATCTACGGTAATATAGGATGTGACATATCCATGACGTGGGATAATATGAGATGAGACAGTAGAATTAACAACTCATTCATAGTTTTACTCTTGACAAGTGAGATTAATAGATTCATCATCATAAACATAGTAACTTCACCATCAAATACAATTACAGTAATATTTTTATTTTTATCTTCTCTCTTATTATTATTACTTTTGTCTCTACCTTTTTATGTTTCTCATTTAAGAAGTCTACAGTCTTTGATAATATATGTCTTGATTTATTACATTGGAAACATGTGAAGTGTTTTATTTCTTTTGACTTTACTTGTTACGGTCATAAAATCTATAAGAATTTCTATACTAGTTTATTTCCATTGACTCCATAACTAGACTTCATTTTGAGCAGAGGAGTTAACCGTAAAACTTCCTTTCCTCCTAGTTTCTTCATTTATATCATTGATTATATCAAAAGTCAATTTTTCATTAAGAGCATAATTACTCAGAGATACCACTAATATCATTAGTGATTAATTGATTCACCATATTTTGAAATATGCTCAAGTTTCCTAATTTTTATATTTCAAATTTACAAATTTCTTAATCAAGAATGTCTTGTTCAAGGAATTTTTAGATTTAAACAACTCACTTAATTTTTTTCATAAGTTGTAAGCCAAAGTCTCACTCGACACATGATGATAAACAGATTGGTCTATCCATTGCCTAATCATACTAATAACCTTCCTATTTAACTTTTTCCAATCTCCTTCAAATTTATCTTTTGGTTTAACACATTTTTACTCAATAAGATCATATAGGTTTTTGCAAAATAATAAATCTTCTCTTCAATATTTTCATATTGAGTAATTGAAAAAATCCAATTTAATCATAGTTCCAACATCATCATCATCTTTCATATTCAGAGTATAAACTAAAACTTCTAACCACAACTATGAAACCAGTTGTGGGGGAAGATAACAAAAATTAGAAGCAAAATTCAAAATCTCTTTTTCCTTATATAAATGATAATAGGTTCTGAAAATATAAAGCACCAGATAAATGATAATGTGCATTGAAAATAAATAGATTATAAATAAGAAGACACAAATTTTAACGTGGGAAAACCCTCAATGTGAAAGAAAACTCACGAGACTTAATCCGATAAAAACTTCCACTAATAATAATTAATGAATACAACACAAGTTCTCTTAGAATCACTAAGGATCAACAAAACATTTTATCTTGACCAATAAGATGGATAACAGATAATCCTAACAGATATATAATAAGAACACATAGAACCAAAATATAGAGTAAAGGGAACAACAAAACCTCTTCTCCGAAAGTTGAGCAACATATCAGTAAGAAAAACTCATAACTCAATGTTTTAAGGTTTTTGGTTGAGACTGGTGTCAATCCTTTTATGAGTTGGTCTCATATCTTGTTAGTGTGTTTTTCCCTTATGAATTTTTCTCGAAAGACCCAACAAGTGATAGTTTGAGAGTGATCTTTGTATCAAAAGTCTTTTTGACAAAGTGGGTCAGGGAAGCATATCCCGTTAGGATGAAAAGTGGTACATGGAAGGACCACTAGTGATCTCGAGGAATTCAAACTTGAGAGGGAGATTGTTTGGTAATCTAAGTGTGAGTTAAGTCTCACATTGAGTAAGAATGAGAAAGTTGAGGAAGGGTGTCAATCCTTATGTGGATTGGACTATTGTCTCATTGGTGTTGTTTCTCCCCAGTACATAAGATCTAGCAAGTGATATCAAAATTGAAGGTTGATCGACAGTATCTTTACATTGAAAGTCTTCTTAACAGAGTGAATTAAATAAGCGTGTCCTGTTAGAGTGAACGACGGTACATAAAATGACTACTAGTGTACTAGATGGGATATAATGTGAGTTAAGTCACACATTGTGTAAAAATGAGAAAGTTGAACAACATATAAAAAATAAAGACTAATAACTCAATGTCTTAAGATTTTGAATTGATAATGGTATCGATCTTTACTTGCGTTGGACTCATATGGCATTAGTATATTTCTCTCTCTTTTAAATCTCTTGGAAAGAGACAATGTAGTACATACAAAAAAATTTCAGTTAATAAAGTTTTATTACATTAATACTTTAACTTAAGGTAATGCATATATTTCTGTAATGTAACTTGAGAAATATTTTCTTAGAACATGTATCTTATAAATGTAGATGGTGTCCAAGTACATGAAGCAACAAGGAAACAATAATCCTATCCTATGTATAAAAGATCGAAGAACAGAGGAAAATGAAAGATAAAACACACAGATACATTCCCAAGCTATAAAGGAACAATGTATGATATCATGATCGCGTATGTAGATCAAACAACAGGAAATGAAGCTATTGATGACTGAAACGCAGAACCAAACTCCGAGGGTGAGTGCTTGTCCAACATAAGCAGAGTAGCTTCATTCAGGGAGTGGTGGCAGAAGGTGGTGGTGACAGGAAGGGGAAAGAGGGGATAGTGGTTGGCATTGTAGGGAGGTTTGGAAGTGAGGTGGCAGGAAGTGGCGGAAAAGTGAGCTGTGGGACAGTTGGCATGGTAGGAAGAGATGGTTGTGGCAGAGACGGGATTGTAGGCAAAGGTGGAACATTGCCCTGAGGCTGCTGAGGCACTGTTGGGATTGTAGGCAATGGTGGAACATTACCCTGACCCTGAGGTATGGTTGGAAGAGAAGGCAAAGGTGGTAATGTTGGTTTAGGCAAAGAGGGAATGCCTGGCAAATTTGGTGCAGTTGTTTGCATAAGATGGCGAGCTGCTAGGCTTATGCTCATGCTTGAGAAGGTCAGAGCAAGAAGAAAAGTTGTGATGAGTGATTTGCTTGAGGCCATAGCTGAATTGGAAGAACTAGTGAAGAGGAATTGCAAATATGAAAATGGTTGTATTTGGTTTTGAGATTGTATGAGGGGCTGAGGGACAGTGCTTGCTTTATATAAAGGTTTAGAGAGGTGGTAGAGACACTTGTTGAACTTTTGGATAACCAAATAGAGCCTGAACATTACCAATATCAATGATTTTGTTAGTTCACCTTCCTCCAGTATTTGAATAAATAATTTTATAATATTAAGTTACAGGTCAACGTAGGATGACCAACTCATACATATTTTGTATGAAACAAAGAATGATAACTAGGAAAGGAAAAAGGAGAATACCTAAGAATTGAGTTGGTTCATCTAACTGAGTTACCAGTCAAAGGTACTTGTTAGTTCATATCAAGATGACAAATATGAAGATTCAAACAAAATCAATTAAATTGATTTAAATTTTCTAATACGCTTAACCTCACCCAAAAATACTGTTGTATTTGTATATATTTGTTGAGTTCAAATCAAACCAAACAGAGACAAATTATTAAATTTACAAATCGTTCATTAACTTAATTATTATAAAAAGTACTATTATTATTTACCATATTTTCTGTGAGAATTCTTATTAATTATACTTGAAAAATAGATTAAATAAAAATAATTCATATTATTCATTAAAATATCGTTTAAGAAATAATAGGCTAAAATTCTTTGAAAAATAATTATTTTAAGACAATTGGAAAACAGAAAGAAAAATTTTGTATCTCAGCAAATACTATAACTAAAAAATATGTTAAACTCTAAAGACAATTCTAATATTTACATAATAGACTAAAATTATGGCAAGAAGGATATAACAGATGTATAATACCCAACTAAAAGCAGGGAATAAAGACGATATAAGGAAACAGAGAATATAAAAAATATGATATAAAAATAAAACATTAGTTAATAAAATTTAATTGATCAATTAATTATATATTTTTTTAATTTATCCATTTATAAAATTAATAAATAGTCTTTAATTTTCAAATTCATATAACATGTTAATATCCTGTAAAAGAAAAACTATTAGAAAGAAAAGTAAATTATATTTCAATTTAAATACAAAGTACAATTATATATAAAGAGTACAATGTTTAAAAAAAATAATATTAAATGATACCATATTTATATATATATATATATATATATATATATATATATATATATATATAATTAAAGGCCACATATAGCCGGTGATCTGTCTTTTAAAATAATAATAATAATAATAATAATAATATATTATTATTATTATATTATGACAGTTAGTAATGTATTTAAAAAAAAAAACTATTTATCTTTAGATAGAACCAAAATTAGTGATTTAAAAAAAAACATACAGGAATTAAAGTAAAAATTCATACTTTTTATAAAAATTAAAAATAATATTTTTTAATTTTCAAAAAATAAAGAAAAAAATATAAAAAATTAAGTACTGAAAACATATTTTTCTCAAATGTTTTACTACTGAAGAATTTAAGTCAATTATGATAAAATAGGTTGTTTACTACAAATTATTTGATGATCATGTCACATACTTATTAATGGTCTTAGTCAGTCATTCATCTATCACATAATTTTAAATTATTAATTTTTTATTTTAAATTTGAAAACTTAAATAGTATCACTTAATATTTTCTTGATGTTTACACACTGATAGGACATAATTATGCATAAATTTTCAAACAAAAGTATATATTGTTATTGAAAAAACTGTATACTTGTCTAGAAAATGATTTCATTGATTCAAACTAAACTAAGACATTCTTGTCAATTAATTTGTTTCAATATATTAATTAAAATTTTGATTTTTCTAATTCATTTTAAACCTATTTATATAAGTGTGACTAAAAAAAGATAAATAAATAAATAAATAAGATAAAATATAATGAAAAACATTTTTGTTTGTTTGAGAAAAAAAATTGACAAAAAAGGAAAGAAATTATTTATTTTAAAAATAATAAATATTAAATAAAATGAAATATTTATTTAATTACAAAATTATTTATATAATTATTAATTAATTTTTATTAATGAAATATATCTTAAAAATAATACTTTTAAATTAATATCTTATTTTTTCAATGATAATAGAATATTTTTTATTATAAATTTTTTTCTAAAAATTATTTATAATTAAATTAATTAAATAATATCATATTACAAATAAAAAAATATTTATTAAATTACTTATTTTATTTTTATATTTATGAAATTTTATTAAAAAATAACTATATATATAAATTATAAAGATAAAAGTAAATAATCATTTATTTAAATAAATAAATTTATAAAATTATATTTATCTTGCGTATATGAATGAAAATATATATATATATATATATATATATATATATATTATATTAAAAATAATATATTTTTTTATTTTCTTAATTATTAAAAAATACTTTTTTTCGTTCATTTATCTGCATTATTATTTTTTTATTCTACATTCTATTTACAAACAAAACGAATCCTAAACCATAATTACTTAGTTAAGGAAAAACAACTAATGTTGACAACCATTTTACAAAAATAACAACTTAATAACTTTTTTAATAATAATATAATAATAAAATTTTATATTATGAGAAGATAAACTTTTGATAGCATGTATATAAGTGTTATTCATTAAATTTGTCCTAAATCTCTAATTGTTTGCATAAAAATTAAGTATTCAAGAGTTTTATATATATAAAAATAATCGTTTTCTAACTACGGCTTAATTATAATAATAAAATTGAAGAGATTAAAAATATATTAAATGGATATTTGAATTATCGTTTTAAGTAGAAGATAATTGAATACCATCTTGCCATCGAATTTTAAAACTTAAGAATAATTTTTCACTTATAATAAATTTACTATATTCATAAGAACCCATATTGATTATATTTATTTAACCTTCTTGTTTATATTTTGTCAAATTATTATGTTACCCTTTTGAATAGAAATAACTCGATAGGGAAGCTTAGCAACGTATGAATTGTTTATTATAACGTGTAAGTATATCATTTAACAATAGATGTTCTTCAAGTACATGAAGAAAAAACAGGAATCCTATGCATACAAGATGGAAGAACAAAGGAAAATGAAAGATTGAATAAACGTATAACATAATCATCACATGTCTAAGTATCGAAGAAAGAACACGATAAATGCAACCAATGATCACAACCAAACTCCAAGAGGTACGAGTGCTTAATTATCCAACAGAAGAGTAGTTTCATTCAAGGAGTGGAGGCTGAAGAAGGTGGTGGAGACAGAAAAGGGAAGGAGGGGATTGTGGGGAAGTTTGGAAGAGAAGTGGCAGAAAGGGGTGGAAGAGTGACCTGTGGAATAGTTGGGGCAGTAGGAAGAGAAGGGATTGTAGGCAAAGGTGGAACATTGCCCTGAGGCTGAGGCAATGTTGGGATTGTAGGCAAAGGTGGAACAGTAGGCAGTGTTGGAAGAGAAGGCAAAGGTGGCAATGTTGGTTTAGGCAAAGAGGGAATGCCTGGCAAATTTGTTGCAGTTGTCTGCATCAGATGACGAGCTGCTAGGCCAATATCCATGTTTGCGAAGGAAACAGCAATGAAAAGAGCAAAGATGATGCAACTGTTGGAGGCCATGGCAAAAGACTTTGATTAATTTGCTTTGTCAAAAGTGATACAACTTTTGCTTTGAGCTTGTGACTTGAGTTCATATTCCAGGTTCTATTGGCAGGCCTTTTATACTGCAACGCATACCCTTTTGAGTTTTTTTTTTTCTTGATGTTTTCTAACCTTGACTTGGACATTTCAATATGTTGTTGGACTACCTTGCAGTGGTTGGCTAGTAAAATATTTGAGATTCAAAAGTAGGACATCCAACTTTCTTTCTTTACTTGTTGGTTTACAATGTGTTAGTTTGGTAGTCCAACATCATTGAAATCTACTGTTACATTTTCTTGTTTTCCTTGTATAGTGATTTCTACTCATGAATTCCATGATTTAGCTTATGGGTAATCTATATTTCCTAACTACAGCTAGTCAAATTCAATTAATATAGTTTCTTAATTATTAAAATTAATTTTTTCATTCAAAATTTTATTTAACTGTTGGGTTGTTTTTACTTAGTAAGAAGTTTTTTTTTTTCATATAACATTCCGATCATTCATTATGATGTTCAATCAGGTTACGAATTTTGTTTCACCATGGACATGTGTCCAACTTCCACACAGTATAACTCATCAAGGCATCGTAATGGGGCCGCGGGCGGGTCAATCAGTTTGACATCTCGATCCTAATTTTAGACATTTTTTTTTTTTTTAAACCGTCATTTCTTTGATTCAGGTCAATGATAGAAATTAAATTTTTATTCTTATTTGTTTTTTAATTTCAGTTTTTTCTTGGTTTTATTTTTATAAAAATAATTATATTTATGATAAATTAATTTTAATATTTTTTATGAATAAAAATATTTATAATTTTACAAATTTTAATTATTATTAATTAAGTATATATTTTAATTTATTATATTTATATTAAAATATGAATATAAAAATATTTTTTATTTTTTTATACTAATATAAAAATTATTATTATTATAATGTATTTAAATATTTAATTATATATATAAGTTAATTATTTTTTTAAGTTATCATTTTTAAATATTTATTAATATAAAATATATAGTTAATAAAAATATATTTAATAAGTTAATTCTTATTTAAATAATTCAAAGTGATAAAAGTTTTAATTATTAATTCTTTTTAATCTTTTAAAATAAAATTATTGAAAATTATTTTATAAAGAATATTTAAAATATAATAAATATGATTAATAAAATTCAAAAAATATAATATAATAAAATTTAATAAAGATAAATTAAAAATAAAATAATATTAATTACTATTAAGATTAATGTAAAATATTTAAAAAAATAAAAAGAAAAAAATTAACTTGAAACATTGAAAAGATTAAAAAAATCAAATTAAGAAAAAAAATTAAAAAAATGTGAATAAATCAAAAATAAGAAAAAATATATATAATGAACTTATTGATTTAAAAAATTATAAAAGATAAAAGAGTGAAAATTATTAAAAAAATAATAAAATATAAAAAAATAATTATATATTCATATAAAAAAGAAAGTAAAATATTTAAAATATATTAAAATTTTATAATTTAAACTTCGACGCGAAAATATCGATCCACGGATACGAATTTCGTCCATCTTTCATTTCATTTCTTTCTTTTTTTTTTTTTCTTAGGAGGTGAAGTTTTTCCTTCATTATATTCTTAAACTCAAATGAAGCCACATCTCCCACGTGCTTAACATGTTCTTCCATGCTACTCGGAGAGCTAAATTAGGTAACCAAAATTAATTCTTATAAGATTTAAATATATTTTTAGTTTTTGAAAATTTAATCTTTATTTAATTTTATTTCATATCTAATCTTAATGAATTATAAAATCTAGTTTTGTTTCTCTTGTTAAATACACACAGTTTTTTTATTGAGAATATTATTTTATCATCTTTTATCTAAATTAGATATTAAGATGTTATATTATTTTTGAAGAAAAAAATAAAAAATATTAAGTTATTATTTTAATCTAGGTAGTTATATTATTATGGTTTGATATTTTGTCATGTTTTTACTTTATATATAAATAGAGTGCATGAATAAAATATACACACATATGAGATATATTTTTACATATCGAAACATACGTACATAAAATCCTACAGGTTTTCATTAGTGGTATCAAAAGTTTTGGTCTTAAGCTATTTCAAAATTTTATGGCAAAAATTATGACATATGGACTATGAAAATACAATCTTATTTGAAGGATTTGATGTATAGGAAGATGTGAAAGAGGATTACATCATTGATTCGTTGCTTGAAAATCTCACCATAATCCAAATCAAATTTCACAGAGAAAAAAAACTAGAAAGTCAAAAGTTAAATCATTTTTGTTTACTGGTGTTTCACAAATGATCCTCACAAAAATCATGACGTTAAAGTCACTTAAAGAAATTTGAGATTATTTGAATGATCAATACGAAGTAGATGAAAAAAATTCGAGGTATGAAAATTCTAAATTTGATAAGGGAATTTGATATACAAATGAGGCAAAATTCTAAGTCTAAGACAATTAATGAATACTCAAACAAATAAATTATTGGGTATTGCTAAGGTAGGAATTTCCTGATTCTAGAATTGTTGAAAAATTATGCTAAATGTGCTAAACTAATATGAAATATTTATTGTTTCATTGGAAAACACAAAGGAGTTGTCTAATATTATTTTAGTAGAAGTAATACATGTTTTACAAGCACAAGAACAATGAATATTGATGAAAAGAGATCATGTTGTTATTTAAGGTTTTTTACTATATCATAGTGAAGGTTTTCTTTCAGTCAAAAACAACAAAGATACCAAATCATGTGTATTTTCTATCTGTCCTTATTGCAAGAAAAATAATCACCCATACAACAAGTGTTGGTGGAGGTCTGATGTGAAATATCACAAATGTGGTCTAGGACATATAAAAAAGATAATCAAATCACAATCAAAAGAAACCATCAAGGTTATAGAGGATGAAATAGAAGAGAAGAAAAATTTCTCCTTACGTCAACATGTTCTACAATCAACAAATACACAAGTTAGTTTATAGATAATGGTTATACAAACCACATTACTTATGATCTAGAACTTTTCAAATAGAATATGTTATTTCTAAAGTGAGAATTGACAATGGAGAATAAATGAATGTGAAAGATATCTATTTTTTCTAAAGTGAGAATTGACAATGGAGAGTAAATGGATATGAAATGTATGAGAACAATTGCAGTTAAAAGTTATTCAGGTATCAAATTAATTTTTGATGTTTTATATGTTCCTGATATTAATCATAATTTGTTAAATGTTGCTCAATTATTAGAGAAAAATTATAAGGTGTCTTTTAAACACAAATTTTGTGGCATTAAAGATGCAAATAACTTGGAAATATTCAAAATTCATCTATGAAAAGAAAAAGTCTCACTTTATATTTGATGAAAGAAAAATTAACTACAAAAGAGGATATAAAAGAAAAGTCAAAGAAAAAACATAATAAATATTTATTGAAGAAACTTAATATTAAGGAGAAAAATAAAGATATAGATAAAAAAATTGTTTCCAATTTATATCAAAAGGTTATACAAGAAAGAAGATGACAAGAAGTACAAATTAAGAAGGAAATTTTTTTCAAACAAAATAAAGGAAAAATATTAAATTTAAATAAATAGATACTAAAGTAAGGAGAAATATTGAGAATATTATTTTTTATTTAAATTAGTTATTAAGAGATTTTATTATTTTTTAAGAAAGAAGATAAAAAGATATTAGGTTATTATTTTGATTTAGTTAATTATGATTAAGATATTATATAAATATAGAGTACATAAATAAAATATATACATTTGAGATATATTTTTATATATAAAAAATACATATACACAAAATCTTAAAAATTTTAATTAATTTTAAATTTTTATATTTTTCTAAATCTACAGACTAAAAATTATACGTATATAATACTAATTCTTACCATTTTATTTAAATCTCCGTACCATTATATATATTATATTATTTATTAAGAGGGAGAATTTATCGATTCTATTTAAAGGTGTGCACATATTATATTAGATTGTGTTTGTGTTAATTCATTATTCAATCTAATATAAAATTTTAAATTGAGTTAAACAAGATAAGATCTTCATTTTTTTTTTCATATTTAACTCAACTCAGGTTAAATTGGATTGATCAATTATTTAATCTTTTTTCTTAAACTTTATGATTTTAATTTTATTTTAGGTCTCGACTTCAACCTATAAAACTAGTCACTTAAGTTGAAAGAGATCAAGTAAGATCATGCATTGATGGTTGAATTGAATTTTACTTAATCATTTTAAAAAAAACTTATATTTAGGTTAAATTGGATTGTGAGATTATCGTACTAAACAAAAAAACTTAATTTTATTAATATTAATTCCAATATATTCGACATAAATATAATTGTTTTAATTAAGTTCCTGCATTAACAGTTTAAATATCTTAAAAGATGAAATGTAATGTGTATTTTTGGAAAGGCTCCGTAAACACATATCTTTTGATTTGCATCTCAAAAACTTGCGTGATGCAGAAGCCACAATTAGTATGTATGGTTAAGCACACTTATCTTGTCAATCGGCTATTAATTGAAAGAGAAAACATCTGTCCTGAAAAGTCGTACCTTTTTTTACCTTAGATGTGATCTTTAAAGGTTAAGTTCACAAGTGTTAAAGCCAAAAAGATAAGGTTGTGTTAACATGTAAAAATATTTGCAGTGAAAATTATAAGCCATGATGACAATTAACAGTATTTCATAATTTCGTCAGTAGATGGTGAATGAACCCTACCAATGAGAAAAGACACAGCTAAGAAAAATATATGTGCCACAGCTGAATTTGGTCACATTGAAAAATGATAGGGACCAACCCAACAAAAGAAACTTCTTCCTCCATAACAATCAAAGTATTCAACAATTGAAGATTCGCACCGCATAAAGAAATTCAAGAATTCATTGAACTAGAAGACAAGAAGTCTGATACAATATCACAGATCACGGTAAATAACATGCTGTTGCAAAACTGACAGGAACAGCATATAAACAGAACATTACATGTAATTGAATGACACATATATAAGGCACGTACAAATCAAACCCCAGAAACACCTTGGATTGGTAACAGTGAAAGTGACTAGAGCAAAACAAGTAGTGGTGACTGATTGATTTCAGGAAGTGTAGGTACTCATGGGAGTACTTTCACGCCATCAACTGTTAGCTTGGGTATTGGCAAGTTAGGGAGTGGCACGGCAGGAACTGGCAGATTAGGAAGTGGCACTTCAGGAAGAGGAACATTTGGGAGTGGAACAAGTGGCACTTCAGGAAGAGGAACAGGCAGGTTTGGGACTTGTGGTAGTGGCACTGGCACTGGCAGATTAGGTAAAGCAACTTTGGAAGGCAATGGAATGGCTGATTTTGGCAGGATGCGTGCCTCTGCAACCCTTGAATCAATGATCATGGATGCAAATGTTAGAATGAGAAGGGTTAAAATGAATGAGAAACTCCTACAACCCATTGTTGGAGAGACCAAATGACAACCCTTTTCTTAATCAATAGTCTGTGTAAAGAAAATTGGCTTTGGTATGCTTGAGGTGGTAGTGGCCTTTTATAGACGAGGTACTGACTGAATCCCGCAACACATGTATAGGCATTATTGACATGTGCTAAGGTGGTTCTTGATGAATAATAGGAAAGCATTTTTATAAATAACATGACTGAGTTAATTATATAAGAAAATAAGACATTATTTTTTTATTAAAAATCTCAAAAATATATATATATATATATATATATATATATATATATATATCATTTATACATTATTCATGTATTCTAAAAAAAATGTATTAATTTTGGATACACAATTCTTTTAACATAAAATTAATTTCTGAACATACACATCATGTCACGTAATAATTCAAATTAATTTCTGAACATACACATCATGTCACGTAATAATTCAAATTAATTTCTGAACATACACATCATTTCAATATTTCATAGTGAGTGCATGATTGTCAATGCTTAATTTGAATAAACATTAGCTTAGTTTTTGACAGAACGTATATAACAAAAATAAACAATTACTTTGTAATAACAAAGGGATCACTCCGTCCCATTTCATATAGTCCTAAATCATAGACCCATTTAATTTTGTCAACTTTTACGAGTTGGCGAATGGATCAATTAGTTAATAATTTTTTTATATAAAAATTTTTATATATATTTTTTAAATATATTTTTAATTATATGTATAATTTTTAAATTTTTATTTATAAATTAATATTTGTATTAAATAAATTAAAAAAATATTATATTTATATGTCAAAATAATTAATTATAATCAATAATTTAAATTTAATTAATTAATTAATTTATAATTTAAATTATAATATTATAATATATTTATATATTTTAATAATATAACACAAAAATATAATATTTTTTATTTTAATTTTAATATATAAATACTTTTTTAAAACGAATTAACAGGTCGGTCCATTCTATCTTGTTCTTAACCCGCCCAATTAACAAACTACACGAGACAAATCAAAATCAACTAACGGATTAAAATCACCGACCCTCCCACCATTCTTTTAGGCGAACTGCTAGGCCAATTTGTTAAGAGTAACTTGATTTACAATCCTTAATCATATGCACACATAAACTTCCTTCTTCTTCTTTTTTCTTTTAATACATCTTTCTAATAACAAAACTTAAAGGAAGTATTCTCCAAGTGTCATTGATTTGGTTTTCCAATTTTGATTGAAAAACAGCACGTATATAATGATAGTTTTGTTTACTATATCTGTTAAATATAAAGCGTTAGTCAACTCTTTTTGGTTATGGATGCATAGTTTTGGATGCGCTTGTGAAACAATAATGTGTAAGACCCTAGCAGTAACTTCTGTATTAAACCAGCATTCGCGGGTATATATAAGCATGAAATTCCACATAAACTATGGTAATAGCATGCAGGGCCTCAATGATGTCTGAAGTAATCATACCTGTTTCATATTTTGGATTCCAGTCACGTGACTGAAACACGTGATGCCCAACTATAGTTATTATTATTATTATTATAATAATGTTGTGCTGGCACTGCAGTGGAGGAGGGGAAGTTACGTTATGGTGGAGAATGAACCTTACCAGACAACAAAAAAACTTGAGGCAGAAAGCTTTGGGCCAGAAGCTAACGAGATAAGAAACTCGTTGGCTCCAGCTTTTCTTTTACCAGACGATAAAATGAAACATTTTGTCATATTGGAGGGGTCAAATCCACAGAATGAGACTGGCACATGTAATAAACCAAAAGAACTTAGTAGAGTAAGTTGTCTCGTTATGGATAGCTTGTGGCTTTTGTAAATCTTATCATGATAGTATTCTAAACATGGATACAACCACATGCACATCAGCCTATCAGGTTCTTCTCTGCTATGCACAGCTATAGATTCCTTAGCCGGATTTATTTCTTTAGTTTTAGTTACTTATGTATATATGTGATGAAACACAGGTTAATTATTTCAAGAAATTTTATCTTTTCCATCAAAATAGTTGGTAGTTTAGCAAATTTTATGAAACTACTGAAACAGATGTAAAATTAGTTCATATAGTGTCATTCCTATTAATTATAGTACTCAGAATTTCAAGATTTGATTCTCATATCTAATGATTAACTATGTCAGGGGTGAATTAAAATATTTCAAGCAGAATAACTCAAATTTTTGTCTTTAGTACCTAAGATGCATCATTAGCTTGTATTAGTAAAACATGTGCATTTTGCAGAAGACAATGAAACCAGAAGCAACTTGTTGTATGTACTGGCGGGTTCTTAAATGACAGAATGAATCGTATAGATCATCTTGTACACCAGGTGAGCTCTACTTTGGGAGTGAAATTACATGAGCGTTTTAATTGAAATGCATACAATACAATGTCCTGAATCTGGAACCTCAACTGTTCTTTAGTTTTAAATAATGTAGACAAATGCAATATGGCCATGAAGTCTTGGATAATTCCTGTATGGTGTATGGGTAATGAACGAATCCTACAGCTCAGCTCTTACCTATATATCTAAGAGAAAATAAATAGATGGAGCTAAGAAACATGAGTGCCACCTCTTAATTTGGCTGTATTGGAAGAAATTTCTCCACTCATAACTACACTATTCAGAATTTTCAAGATTTTACTGGACTGGAAGATTTGAAATTTGTGAATACAATAAATATGCTGCTGCAGAACTGACTCCAACAATTGAAAATCTTACTGTACTACACTGTGTAATTTAATATTACAAATGAAATTTCAATAGAAGAATCCTATAATGGCAACAAGCTATAAATAATATACGCATTAAACAGTACATGTTACTAGAAGCAAGTAATAGTTTAAGGAGAGTAGTGGCTGGCGGGGATTGGGATTTCAGGAACTTAGGCACTTATGGCTTTGTCACAGCATTAGCAGTGGTGGTAATGGCAGACCAACCTTGGTAAATTTGGGGTTATAAGTGTTGAAATCCACTAAAGATTATTTAATATTATAATATATAAATTAGTAAAAACCTCACCTTAGTCAGATTAGATTAGGTACATTTTCATTTTTAAGAGAGTATCATTCTTTTGATATGAAGAAGGTGAGTACTAACCTCATTATAGTTGGGTACCTTTTTATTTGTAAGAAGAAATGGGGGAGGCAACTCAAGTTTGGAAAGCATGGTACTTTTGACAATAGGATGTTGATTGTTGCAGGATACCTAACTCTGCAAACTTTGAGTGAAGTCATTTTTGAAAAAAAAAAATAAAAATAAAAACAGAACACCATCTTTTCAAACTTGTAAATTTTCCTGTTCAGGTATGGACCAAGATTGAACAAACTTTCTATTCTTGGAGAAATCTATTTTCAATTGAATTAGGAACCTTTTTTTTCCTCGTTTTTATGTTATTAATAATGAGTTAATTGAAATATCAAAGCATTTATTTAATGTTTAATTAATGATGTTATTAAGAAATATAGTTATGAAACTCCTTGGTTTCTACAATGTTATGATGTACCAGAGAGTTTCTAAGCATGTATAAATACACATATGTATTTCAGTTTGTCAACATAACAAAGTAACAAAGACATAGATAATATTCAGTTTCCAAAAGGTTTTGTTATCAAATTAATATTAAGAGCTCAGGTTTGAGTATTGAGTGTTTACATAAAAATGAGATGGTCAGTCTGAATGTTGCTGCAGTTTGTCCAAACTGACGAAAGATGTTAGTTATGATAGATGGAATGCCTAGATGCAAACTCTCCTCACAGCCCAAGATTGTTGGGTTGTGGTAGAGGACGACTATGAAGTACTAGAGACCACAGAAGGATTATCGGCTAACGCACTTAAAGCGTTTAAGGAGAAACATTCGAAAAATAGTGCAGTTCTGTTTTCATTGTTTCAAGTTGTAGAAGATTTCAATTTTGAGAAAATTGTAGGAATCAAGTCAGCATCCGATGCATAGACCGAGTTGGAGAAGGAGCACAAGAAAGATGATCAAGTCATTCGTGTTTGACATTAGACACTGCACTGCGTAGCAAGATGGAGAGTATGAAAATAAAAGAGTCAAAAAATGGCAAGGACTCCTTTTTCGAGAAGTGACGAGCATCGAGCAAGTCAACAACTTGAGTTGATACATACCAATTTGTATGAACATATTAGCCCTGAGTCATTCAGTAATAAGAAATATTTGGTGACTTTTGTTTATGATTTTTCTAGAAAGACGTGGGTGTATCTACTAAAAGAGAAATTTGAGGCATTTGAAGTGTTTAAAAGGTTTAAGGTGATGGTTGAGAATGTGACCGGGTGGCATATCCGATCGGACAGAGGAGGAGAATTCATATCGAGTGTTTTCAATAAGTACTGTGAAGATAAAGGAATAAGGAGATTCCTAACAATCCCGTACTCACCACAACAAAATGGTGTGGCTAAGAGGAAGAATCGAATTATTCTTGACATGGTTCGAGCTATGTTGAAATCTAAGGATTTGCCAAAATTGTTTTGGGTCGAGGCGGTACACTATGCAATCTATGTGCAGAACAGGTGTTCGCATATAAAATTGAATGGAGTAAAACTACAAGAGGCATGGAGCGGTGTTAAGTGGTAAAAAGTTGATATAATTATGCCTTGAATTGTTATAAAATCACTTAACTTATGTTAATTCTAATATATTTTTCTCCCAATATAGGATGAATTTGAGAATACCTTGATACAAGAGTAAGAAGCATAATTGTCAGCATAATTGGAGTAAAATTGAAAGAAAAAAGAGCGCTTAAGCGAATGAATGATGCAAGGCCCGACCCAAATTCTCTTATAAAAAGATAAGTTGTGTTTTGAGAAAGGCAAGCAGTCTTGGAGGAGAGGAGGCACGACTACTGTTAGGGTTTTGTCCAATCTTCATCAATTCTTCTTCATCAATTGAAGCATTGTAATGGCCAACATGAGTGGCTAACTTCATTCTCTTAGGATTCGGTGCACTTCCTTTGAACTCTTTTGTATCATGGTGATATTTTGATATATTAATATATGCTTTGATGTTGTTATTCTTATATTTTATGCTTTGGAATGATTTATTCTTGATTGTTTGAGGTATGATTGGAAAATATATCTTGAACCCTAGATCACGATAAGAATATTTGTTACGTTAATTGCCAGGAATGGAATGAATGTATCAATTGCTTAACACCCTAACCCTAATGCTGGAAAATCTGTTAATTGTGTGAAGAATCAATATTTATTAGGTTTTCTTATGAATTTCATGTGTGAGGAATCAACATGGATGATTTGAGTAGGTGACATCAACATTGTTAGGTTAATTGACGTTCTTAATTGATTTAGTCATTACAAAAGAGGGATAAGGAAGAAAGTCAATCCTAAGTACCTTTAATTGATATTTTCTCAACAATTTACAAGTCTTTGTCATTTAATTTCAATTCAACTCTTATTAGCAAAATCTAATCTGTTTTAATATACTTAGTAAGCATAATTGGGAATTTCCATTGAAACTGTTCCTCGTGGGATCGACTTTTATTTAATCGAAATACTATACTGCGATTGATAATTTGGTACGCTTGCCAATAATTCAACAAGCGGTCAAAAACCGGCTATCTCTTATCTTAAAGTACTTAATGTTTGTTGCTTTATACATTGATGATCTCATTTATATGGGAAATAATCCTGGAACTCTTTAGGAATTTAAGTGAACAATGGTAGTTGAGTTTGAGATGGCCAACCTTGGTATGATGAAATTCTTTTTTGCATTGGAAGTAAGACAGGAGGAGTCGGAGATTTTTGTGTCTCAAGAAGCATATGTAAAGAAGGTTATGAACAAGTTTAAGATGACTGACTGCAATCCAGTATCAACCCCCATGAAACCAGGTACGAAGCTTTCAAAGTTTGATAAAGGAAACCGAGTTGATCTGAGCAAATATCAGAGTTTAGTTGGAAGTCTTCATTACCTCACGAGCACTAGACCCGATTTGTTGTTAAGTTTCAGGATTGTTAGTCTGTTCATGGAAAATCCAAGCTACTCTCATTGGGAAGCGATGAAGAGAATTTTGAGGTATATGTGAGGTACCTTGTCTCTTAGACTGTGGTACACAAGGTCAGACAGTTACCGACTTGTTGGGTATTCAAATAGTGACTAGTGTGGAGATGTGGATTATCGGAAAAGCACCACGGGGTATGTATTTTTCATGGGTAGCACAACAACTCATAGTAACGTTATCGTGGTGTGTGTGTCATGCAGTATAGCTTAGAAATTTGCTAAGCTCCATTGAGGAGAAACAAATCGGTGTAACCGTAATTCAAGTTAATAACAATTTGGCTATTAAACTAGCTAAGAATTTGATCAATCATGAGAGGAGTAAACATATTGATGTGTGTTTTCACTTCATCCAAGAATATGTGAAGGAAGAAAATGTGGAGTTCGTACATGTGACAAGTAAAAATCAAATTACAAATATTTTCACGAAGTCACTTCCTACAGTGTTGTTCAAGGACTGTAAAAGATTAACCAGAATGAAGGATGAAAGAAACTTGAAGAGTTCAAAAAGTAAAAAACTCAAAGTCAACTAGATAGAATTAGAATTAGAATTAAAAGTGTTATGCAGAGAATTAATTTTAAGAAATATTTTGTTAAGTATAATTAATAATGAGTTAATTGAAATATCTTTTGATGTGAAAAACGTTTATTAAATGTTTAGATAGTAATGCTATCAAGAAGTATAGTTATGAAACTCTTTTGATTTCTAGGATTAAATGCTATGGTGTACCAAAGAGTTTACAAAGGCTTTTGTTATTAGTTTATATGATTTGTGCCATTAGATTGTAAAAACTCATAAAACAATTAGGATATAACATTCTGTTTTGAATCAGATCAACTTAATTAAATTAAAATAAGTTTTATTAAGCATGATAGATGTTAAATTCCAAAAGATTATATATTTGTATTGATTCCAAGGCTTGGTCTCGACAAAATAAGAGTAGTAATAGAAAGTATGTTTTCAACGATAGCTACAGAATTGCATGTAATATTTATTACATCTGATAATACAGATAATTCGATCTTAGCTTATAAGAATAAAGTAGATAACATTTAAGCTCTTGTACCAAATCTTGTAAACACAGATATGTTAAAATGAAATTGAACAACTGTCTCTTGTCATTATTTTACCTCGGCTGCTTATTCAAATTATTTTTTTTTTAATGATATTTCGATTGAGTCTTATTCTTTATTAAATAGAGCTTATACATATACTAGTTATACAGTTTCTAACATTTTCAACAAAGTAAATCTAACATCATATAATAAAAAGCTCCTAGACTTTAAGTATAACACCAATTATACTATGCAAAATTACCTTTTCCAAATGTTTGTAGTTTTCACAAATTACAATGAGCTTACATATCATCAATTAATGCAGAAGCCATAAATAAGTTATATTGTGGCAATTGTTTTTACAATGCATTTTCATCACTCTTTTTTTATCAGATCAAGAACCTTAATGGAAACACCTGATTCCTGAAGACAAAATTCCTGCTATTAACACAGTCCTCTCTCATGCCATGAAATAACACAATTTCTGCATCTACCATCCATTCAAGCACATGACATATATATTTCACATATCCATTGCATAAAATGATCAGCATAACAAAAATGGAAATACAAGAAAATCAATATTTTATGTATTTACAACCAGAAAAGTGATTTTATGTAGTAGATTGTACTACTATGTCCAACATGCATGTCTGTATCCAATACCAAACACGCTCATGTGCTAATGTGCAGACAGTGGACAGATGCATGTTCTGAAAGGCTACAATGATAACAGAATTATTAAAGAATCATGCAACAGGCAAAAACAGCTAATCAGCAATATCCCTCAAATTCAATGAAGAAGATGTGACGTTATTTTATGGTTCAAAAGGTGTGAAGAATGTTTTATTGCCGTTGCATGTAACATCTTTTTTCGCCAGACAGAAAAAGACAATTCCTAGGCCTAGCCGACATCGTAAAAATGACAAAGCATGTAGCATCTATAAATAGGAATTCAGGTTCATCGCCATTGTGTTTTTTACTACAAACCACCTATCTCCTCTCCTCCTTTGCTTAGCCAATTTCATGAAACCAAGTTCGTCTCATTAATTTCATCAAAGGCTTCCCCATTCAAAAGAATATAATAATTTAAACTAAACAGTATAATTAAAACAATTAAGCTATAAATAAAAATTGTAAAGTTTAAAACTACATTAAAAATTGATATAAAGTATCATTTAAATGTGCCGATTTTTATTATTTTACATGTATTAGTTACTTTGAGATATAATTCAAAAATTAAATGTAGCTTTCTAGCTACTGTTAGTTTCTGCCCGACGGAGTCCTGCGCTCCGGGCTATGCTACTGTCTGAATAGGCTTGCACAAACAAGCAATGAACACAATGGTGGGTTTAACTTCAGGCCCAAGACGTTCATTGTACTTAGGCATACAACCCAAGTGAAATAAGAGAATTATGTACCCAAAGTTTTAAAGGAGGACCAATGCTATATGTGATTGTTACCAGTTTTAGAAATTTGTTAGAAGAAAATTGCGAAGTCTTCAATGGTTTATGGTTTATGACTTTGGTTTGCATCAGTAGTTTTCACATCCATATGACAATGAGTTTCAGAGGCTTGGTGGACTAACCCTCACTTAGCTGATAAGAATTCTTCAAATAGGTCTGAACGGTGACTAAGCAACGCCAATCCTCCAAAGGAAAACCGGGGGACTGGTGGGAAAAGAATTCTCAGGAGTCTGTTTAAACAACATTTACAAAAAGCCTTGTAGGAGATTATTGGGAAAAACAGTATACACAACATTTGAAAGGGAATCATAGAACATAGATTTCATCAAACCCCAGAGTATACATTATGACCTTAACGTTTTCTCAAAAAGCTACAACCGACACACTGATATGGTAGGCGTTTATTCAAATCAATCCATTTATATATCTAATAAATTGTACAAAATACATAACTCAGCCTATGCTTCTTCAAATTCTAGCAAATTCCGAAAATGCAATACTGCATCACAGGAAAATAAAAGTGCAAACTTCAACACCAAAATATTTTGTTTTTGGCAGTAATTCTTCCATTTTCCTCCAATTTGGTTTCCCGGTAATCCAGTGTCCATTTCTCAAATGAACAGTCAACAAAGTTGTAGTAGCCACCATGAATAGAGAGTTCTTTATTCGCTACCTTTTCTTCTATCCAGGGGTAAGTAAGTAGATTTAACAAGGAATGGTTGATTGATTCCTGTACAAAAATAAAACATCTGAACCATTAAACTTGAAAATATTCAACATTTTGCATGACTCCTAGTAGTTAAATCGACCCAATGATAGCTACGGGTGGAGACATTCAATGAAAACCACATGACAAAACTCAGAAATATACATTTGTTCCTAAGGATGAAAATCCTATTTTTACAAGGGCAAAATGAGTTAGATGATTGATTTCTTTTAATACCTTTTTACTTTTTTATCATAAGAATGTCTAGAAAGTGGGTGTTAATTCAGTCTCTTTACTGATGTTCAAGTTGTGTAGAAGAGATGTCCAAGATGTGTCAAAATTTTAGGAAATTACTTTTCAATTGTTACATGATTGAGGAGAGTCAGACAGGTACCAAAGTTGTGTCCGACAAGTGTCATGTCCAAAAAGTGTGAGACGCGGTGACACGATATTCTACAAAGGTGTCCATGCTTCTTAGGATTTAATTAGGCATAGATCTTAGTTTGTTATTATCTTTCTGAATGATGGAAAAACATTCACCAGATCACATTATAACTTCAGATAAGTCTTCAAGATTACTTCTGTCAAAATACTAATGCCAACCCTTCCAAGCCCCATTTACCAAAAACAATCTGAGAGCTACCCATAAGCCATCTTTCCCTATTTGGGAACAGTTTATAAACTTTTGACATTTCAACAGCCAAATCACACATTCAAATTAAGAACAAAAATATATCACCTTCTCACAATGTGTGCACTGCTCATCAAAGCTGAGGTTAGAACCAGCAGCCTTGGCTTTAATTCTTGCATTCTTCCCACCAATGACCCAACTTTTAATAAAACTACTAGAAAAAAATACATTTTCATGTTACATATATGTCAGATTTTAATCAAAAAAGTAAAAGGACAACCAATATCTATAATTAAGCACCTTCTTTCAACATCATCGTCTTCCATGCTCATCAGGGCACGTATACCACCACAGCAACTGTGGCCAATGACTAAGATGTTCTCAACCTGCAACCAAAATAAGCACAAATCTTACAGTTTTTGGAACAGCAAATTAGAAAAGCTATTAGAATCCTTTCCACTCAAATAATCTGCAGATAATTCTTGCAAGCCCTAAGTATTGAAAGCTATGTCTTATAATGTTATTAAAACGGTTGACTTCACTTGTACCGAAGTTTAATTAAGTATTTTGCAATCAACTTGGCATTGCAATCAACTCATATTCCTCCAGCCTCATTTCTGAAGCCCAAATCTTAAAATTCAATCTTTTCATAAAAGTTGTAGTTATCGTAAAATCAGTCAATATTTAACCAAAATCAAGTTGTACTTCAAAAAACTATACAATCAGCCAGAAGAAAATGTAAATAACTAAGCAGATGATGGATAAACTAACAAAAGCATTAAAAGTTTAAAAATGAAGAGGATAAATCCTGCCTTGCTCTTCTTTAGTAAAATAAATGCTTACCAGAAGGGTGTTCACAGCAAATTCCAAAGCAGCATTTGTTTCCGAGGGTCCACTCTGCATCGGGAAAAGGTAGTTAGAAGAAGGGTATCTCTTTCATTCAAAATTTAGTAATGAAAATTATCTGGTCAACACAGGCAACCAAACCAATAGCAGTGAGACTTGAACCTCAAAGGTAGGAACCAAATTAGCAATATTGCGAATCATGAATGCTTCTCCCGGTTGAAATCCCAAGATATTAGAGGGGCATACCCTAGAATCTGCACAAGCAATAACCATGAACTGTTCTGGCAATTGTTAGTAAAGAATGCTTATTTGCTAATGTTTCAGTAGACAACTTGAAGACGTGAACTGACAGGAATCAGAAACAAACCATAAATGATAAATCAATAAAAAACAAAATGCTTGGCCGAAAGGGTGGGTAGATAATATAGAGGAAGACAGAAGATAGAGGACAACTACCTTTGGTGTTTGAACCTTGGCAAGATTTTCATACTGATCAATATTTTTCCTGCCATAAACAGTACTAAATAAGCTTCTCCCTAAATTATGCATAAAAAATGAACATTTTAGATAAGGGTTTTCTGAAGCTTACAAGTATTTATTCTTTTTAAAACTTAAAAACCTATCTTTCAGGTCATTAAATATATCACACCCATCTTCAGTATCAGCCAAGGTCTTTAGCTTGTTGTTATTAAGTTTATCTGTAAACCCCGGAGGCCCCATTGAAGCCTTTAAAGTGAAACCTTGATTTCTCCTGCAAACATTAGAGCAAGATATACAATGCATGTGAAAAAAAAAAATTGAAGAATTATTCAATTAAATAATTGTCTTTACTTCTAAGAAATAGCTGCAAAAACTGTAATCTATTCAGACAAATATTAGAATTAGGAACATACATATTACACAGAAGGAAAATTGCATCTGCATAATCATTAATAGACTGTGAATTAACAGAATTTAAGTTATCAAACAGAAGAAGATTGCAATATCAATGAGGAATTAAGCGCAACGAATCTGCAATTCTGCAACCTAAATCAGCTAGGGATCAGAACGTAGAATACTCAGTTTCCTCCATTAAAATCGCGCTCAAGGTTTATAACCATTGTCATTTATCTTTGTTAGATTAGTATTTACAAATCAATTACGAAATATAAAAACAAAGTAATGATTGGATCTTGAAAGTTTAGTTTTCAGCTATTTACACTAGCTAGGAACGAATACCCCGGACACGAGAATCAACACAGGACTAGAAAGTAAGAGAACCCAACACGATTGAAACAGGGTAAGCAGAGAAAGATGGGCACTGACCTAAATGCCGTGCACGATCTGAAATGGGTCTGCTCAAAGTTCCCTTTTTTCAGGGCGGCACAACCAAAGATCTGCTTAACTATAATGATTAGTCCATTCACAATTCACAAGTAGAATAACAAAATGGACATGCAAGAGACAAACACATGAGATGTGAGTACACAGCAATAAGTACCGTTGTTGTGGAAGGTTTGGAAGCAAAGGAATCAGAGGAAAGAGAGAAGGGTGCAGGAACTGCCATTGGAGAAGTGAAACTGAAAGAAAGGTTGGGGAGTGAGAAAAGGAGGCATTGTTTAGTTGAGATTTAAATCAGTCGTTGGTGGGTGAAGTTGGTTAGAGTCATGTGCTGTTGGATTGCCTCCAAGAAAGACGGAGAAACCAAGGTGTATAAATAAAGGTAAAAGAGACAACAAAAAGATTATTCCTTTGCACCTCCACCACCAGTTACCCATGATGTGGTGATGGTGATGATACTCTCTCAAGCTTTGTTTTTGACTTTCTGACTTCTCTCACAATTCTAGTTTGCCCCAGTTGAGGATAAGACCAGGTAAATTTGTGGAAAGTTCTAGAATATTATAACATAGATACGGTGAAAATGGAAGGTCCCAAAAGAAAATGCTCTCACATCCAGACAGATAGATCAAGGCATACAAATATAAGGATATAAGGCTATGATCATATCAGATCAACCGTACATCCTATTTCTACTGTTATCACTCACTATTTCTATCTCTCTTTTTTCATTCATCATATTTTTATTTTTATTTTACCAAAGACAACCAATATTGATGTAGATAAAATTATAGATAGGAGAGTTTCCCTCTTCAATCTTCAAGTGTTTAAGATAATTACCCCTTAAATTTGAATAACTTTATAATTCCTATTTCTATTATTGTTATGTATTTTTTAAGTTTTGTGAATATATTTGAATTTTTTTTTTACTTTTTCTGAATAATCTCTATGATGTGTTTTGGATTTATCATAGTTTTGTATGTCTTAATAAGTTAAAATTTATATAAATTATTTTTAAGTTTAACTCTAATGATAGAAAATTTAGATAGTGTACATGAGATTTATAAAGAATTATTAATATTAGAGAAGAAAAAAAATCAAATGCACCATGAGTCACTCTAGGCTATATAAGAATATTTTTAAAAAATGGTGACCACAAAAATCAATGAAAATAATAAAAAAGATTAAAATTGAAAGAAGCAGTATTTAAAATGAAAATATATTAATGCCTTATCATCTAGGCACTATACATGGATGGTGTGCAATTGAGATTCCTTATGAAAAGCTAATTTGAGTATATGGGAATTAGAACCTTAAACTTTAGAAGTTCTCTACAGTTTATATCCACCAAGTCCATCCAGATAATAATATGGTAATGATATGCATGAATTTGAACTCTGATGGAATTTAGGTGGACAAAAAATGAAGAAGAAATGGGTAGTTCATTGTTTGTATTTGTTAAAAAAAAAAAATTGTGAAAACAGCTAAATAAATTTGAAAGATCTCACCTTCAATTTTTTTTATTTTTTATTTTATAAGTTTATCCATTTTATTTTTATTTTTTATTATTATTATTCTCTTGACCTTTCTTCTTTTCTTCTTCGTTTTATTCCCCACCTAATCAGAGCAAAAGACGACAAATAAAAGGGAGGAAAAATCCAGAAGCATGAGAGCAGAGAATCTTTGAGAAACTGACAATTGTTGCAAAAGAGTGCATGGAATGAACAGATTGAGACAGATTCAAAGGGTGAAAAAATCAGGTTTATAGCTAAGTAGGATCACAAAGAATCCATAAAAGTGTGTTATTTACTAGTTTCAACAAAGTTTAGCTCTTTTTACATTTTTAAACAATATATATATATATATATATATATATATATATATATATATATATATATATATATATATATATATATATATATAACATATTGACCTATTTTATTCTTAAAATTTGATATTAATCAAATTTTTTTTTCATACAGAAGAGAAAAACTATCTTGATTATCTAAATTTAAAAATTTGTAGTTTTAAAAATTTTGATTATTTATATTCATCTTATGGTATAAAAATTGATGTAAGTGTTGAAAATTTTAAAATAATTTGTTAGATGTTCGTAAATTTTTTACAAAATACTTTAATAAATTCTATGAATTAACCTTATTTTGGCCTCAACTTAAAAGTCATACATAAGTAATTATACGATAAATACTTATTCAATTCAAAGACTAGTTGTTTAAAAAAAACATTGAAAAAATAAAGAAATATGATAATTTATATCTTAAAAATATATTAGTTGTAATTCAAATTTATTTACACATATACTAAAACATTTGCTGATATAAAAACTAGAGATATTTCGAACACTAAACGGTGAAAATGTGAAATAAAATTCCATTCACAGAGAATATGAATAAAAAAATTATCTTTTTCCTCTTATTAAATTCTTCAAATTTGATTTTTTAAATAAATTTGAAATAGATAATGATCTCCAATTTCAGTAAAAGGAATTTAATAAAAAAAAACTTATAAATCCTTAAAAAAATCTCATATTCTAAAATAAAAATGACTTGGTTGGTCAAATATTTACTTAAAATTATAAATACATTTAGTCTAAAATTGGAAGCACCTAAGTCAAAACCTACCCATATTGGAAACCATTCAATCCTAAAGGTTTGCTGGAAAGGTTTGGGCCTACAAGCTACAACTTGTAATTAAGTTAGATTGGGCTTTTTTGAGCCCAACCAACTTGTTGATCAGTGCTGTTAGTGGACCATGCATGAAGGACCAGGTCCAAATTGAAAGCATTAAAATTTAGACAAAAAGGAAAATTGACATAACAATTCAACATATTTATCATGCGCCCATCAGTGGACCATCAGTGGCCCATGCATGTATTAAATTACTAGTGCTTAAATAAATAAAAGTACCTAACAAGTACCCCTCAAACACGTTTAACTAATTAGGAAAAGATACAAAGTTGTTATTGAAATTCAGAATGAAGGTATATTATTAATAACATAAAACTTTCTAATTTAAAATTCTTAACAAGTGCTTTAAGATAATTTGTTAGGATTTACCAATTCATAAACATATGTATCCCATTCTTTCATAAATCATTCCACGCTTCTGCTACTATTCCTGCCCATGAATTGTTTTGACAGTCATTTTTGGATCCCTTCCCTTGATTCAAATGCAGAGCAGAGGGGCAAGTATTTTTACCAGGTACAAATTCATCAGTTCATATGTAAATTTTTAAACAATATGCTAGTAACATACTATGTAAAAAAAAATTATCACATGAAATGATATTATGAATGAGAACAATCAAAAGAGGAGTGTGTTGGAACTTCAAAAGGGTATGCTATAGTGTTCCCTAGCATTTGTCGAAGAATAATATACCACAGCTCGTATACCCCATTGGACTTGTAGGCAAATACCAGAGTTAGTTGGCACTTTTAAAAGCTTGGTGAAGTAGACGAACCAGAAGCTATATCTAACAAACATGCCTGTGTCCATAATCACGAGCATCTAACAGTACCAAAGACCTAAAGTTATTGCCACAAACCCAAGCATTGCTTTTCAAAAAACACTACTTTGGTGAAATGAAAAGAGAGAAGACTAGACACAGGCAAAACAATAAGGTACTAAGTGACAGCACCACTAACGCGCCAAGATTCTCCATCTTTTGCCATTCACAACACTTGAACAATGGGAAACAATTAGCAAGCAAAACTTTTTCTTGTTTTGAAAACCTTTCCCTTGCAAAACACCAGAGCAAAGCCACAAAATTACCAAGGAAGAACCCAATACACAAAACACCACAATACAACTGAAAAAAGAGAGAAGACCTTAGGAAAGCAGGGACCAGAAATTAGGGTCATCATCTACATGAATCAATAAAACATGAACCAATACAACAAGAACACAAACAATGCAAGCCTGTATACAGTGGAAAAATGTTTTGCACATAGGGTATTACTATCGAACATGGTTAGTCTGCCTACAAAAATTATCTTCACACAAACAGCAGTAGCAGATGACTGTCACATATACAGTAGAGTTGAGGAACAACTAAAACTCTAAACCGAGCTCCCCCCATGGTTATTACTTAATAGTTCATGTGTGTGTGTGAGAGAGAGAGAGAGTTGATGAAACTTGAATGAGTAATATATTCTTCCTGAACAGAACAGGAGACAGAGAAAACAAAACCTCCGCAGATAGTTGAAAACAAAGTGAGGAAGTATATGCCGAAAGTTATTAAAAGACTAACATAGCAAGAATAAAACAGGAGCTCATCAGCATCATTTGGTGCGACAAGTACCAGCATGAAAGAAAGTAAACATCTACCACAACAAAAAGCAGAGTAGCCAACCCAGAACTAATGATCCTTAACCTTGTCATCTGCAACAACATTGAGAATGGGCAAGCTACTAAGGAACTCGTCCAGCCCCTCAAAAAAACCAATCCCTTCAATATTATCCTCAGCATTCACATTCTCATTCCCATCTCCGTTTTCATTCCCCTCATCCACTCCATGCACAGTCTCCTCCACCTCATTGCTGAACTCCACATTCAAATCCAACTTCCCCAAGTTCCTCTCACTCCTCCTCCTCGAACCACCCAACGGAGCCTTCTTACTAGATTCTGGCAACGCCACAACAGCATCATCATCCGCAGCCTCACCATTCTCCACAATCCCATTACTAACATCATCATTATGATTATGAATCCCTCTCCTAGGCCGCTCAATCGGTTCACTCATAACATCACCACCACCACCATTGCTTCTCTTCTTCCCACTCTTTCTCCTCCTTTTCTTCCTCACCGTCACCATCCCCTTCCGACTCTCGCCACGCCAATCATCATCGGAATCATCCTCCGTCGTGTCGGAGTCCTCCGCGAACTCCGCAGACGCATCATCATCGTAGAAAACATACGACCCCTTTCGGTGCCTCCTACTCTCCTCCCCCCCTTTGAAAGCGCAAGGAAACAAAGGGGAAAAAGGGTTCCACTTGGAGGAAGAACCGTTAATGTCTCTAAAATCCCCAGAAAACCCCACAGGGATAAAACCCCAACTGCAAAACGAACCAAAGCCATCTTTCGGCGGCGACCGTACCACCACCGCATGAAACCCCCTCCGACAACTCTGACACCGCAGCGTACAATCCACGTAAACCTTCGGATACTCGTACATAACGTAACAATAAGGGCACGCGGTCCAGAAACTTGCCCCTTCGTTCCCGGTCTCACTCCCTTGAGTCCACTCGCTCGCATTGTCCTCTGGACTCGGCGCCTCCATATCTACCCTAGGCAGAGGGCTTTGTTCCCGCTGAGGGATTTGGTACGGGGTCGGGGTCGGGGTCGGGTTTAGGTTCGGTTGCGGCGGTTGAATCGGGAAAAAGGTAACCGGAGGCGCTGGAGGTTGCGTGTGCGGCGGCGGGGGAGGAGGCGGAGGAGGGGGTTGAGTGAGGAGTCTGAGTTGGTTGTCGTAAAAGGCTTTCTTGGTGGCGTTGGAGAGTACGGACCAGGCGTCGTTGACGAGCGTGAAGGCGTGAGCGGCGAAGGCGAAGGGGTTGTGATGAGGGTCGAGCTGGGTGGCGAGGCGGCGGTACTGGGCGGCGATGTAGTCAATGTTCTGAGTGTAACGGAGCACTTGGAGGATGGCGTACCAGTCGAGATTGTCGTTGATCCGGGCCTCGCCGGCCATAAGAGTATCGATAACCGTCAAAAGAAGCTCCGTGGGCTCGTATCTCGGGTCCGACTCTCGGGCCCGGATCGCAAATGAGCGTGCCCCGTGTAGGTCACGTGCGCTTAATACCTTATTCGCCGTGTATAGCCACCGCTCCGCTTCCCCTCTAGTCCCTCCTCCGTGACCCTCCATTTGCAAAACAAAACCACTCGCTTTGCTGGTGTGTGAGTGACTCCCTCACTTACATTCTCGGCGCTTAGCTTAACTATAATGAGGGAGAGATTTAAAGGGTATTTTGGTCATTGCATTAGGGATTGCAGAAACGAGTATCACATGGTCGTGGAGTGATGACATTGACATTGACCTCGCTAAAACATCAAACTTCTGTTCTTCTAGCCATGCTTTCCTCTGCCTTCTGTCATATATGTTGCTTCTCGTAAGAAAGACAAACAATGTTCCAATGTGGAACCCACTTTCCCACATTTGACTTCCCCCTCCGATAAATGTAACCGAGCGTTATCCCCATGAAACGCTGTCGCTTTTAATTCTATTCACTTTGTTTTTTTGTTTTCCTTTTTATCGATTTATTCTGTTCATTCTCTTTTATTACATTACCTTTATTTACATTTGAAATTACATGCTTTGTGTTGTTACGTTGATTTTACCTCTCTTTCTACTAAAAATCATTTTATGCCGATTTAAGGACCATTTTTTATTTAAACCCTGCTCTGAGTCTTTAAATTTAAATCTAATCGAGCTTGGCCAAAGTGTTTGGGAAATAGACATTCAACTGTTAAACATAATTTCAGCTATTTTGAAAATATAAATAATGTTTCAAACATTCACTTGTTTTCACAAAAAATTGTGTTCTGGAAACTTCAACTGTTAATCATTGTTATAAACAATGGTCAATTCGTTAAAACAGCTGAAAATGTACAATTTTTAAATTATCTACTTTCATTACTCCCTACCTATAATCTTCATTGACTTTTAACCAACCTAAATTGTGTCATTAATTTTCCTTTTTGTCTTTTACACTTTTGCTATTTGCTTTTTATTATTATATATATATATATATATATATATATATATATATATATATATATATATGACAGTAGAAAAAATATAACAAAATATGAAATAATTAAAGATTGAAATATACATTATTTGGCTTGCCTTTTTTTTACCGTTTTGTTATTTATAGTTATTTCACTTATATTATTTTTTATAAAATATAAAAATTAAATCAAAATAATATTAGTAATACAAATAAATAACTATATGGAATTATAATGAATTGTCATATGTGTATCTGAACAAATTTAAAGTTACTAAATGTAACTTGCACTCATAAATTACTTTTTAAAGTCTTACTAATTAATGTATTGGAAATATTTATTGAACACAGTTAATGCAAAGTACTAAAATTAAATATCTCTTATACTTTTAAATATCTTTTTGTTGGTTATTTCCTTCTTTTATTATCTCAATAAATATCTTCCAAACATTCATTGCCGTTTTTTTTAGCCTCTACTGATTCTTGAATGCATGTTTACTGTTTACTTTTATTAAAACCAAATAAAAAAATTTTATTAAGCATGACTCACATATATTATTGCATGTATTAAAAAATTTATACAAAATTGTTAAAGCACTTTACTTGGATTGATAAAATTACTGTGTTACTAATAAATGTACTGAAATGATTTATTAAAAAGTTGATACAGTGTGTTAAGTATCTTTAGTTATTGGCAAATTATTAAGCATGCTTGCGCTTTTGAATGTATAAAATATATTTATATTTGATTATTTTCTGCTTTTATCACCTTAATTTAAACTTACTCACCTGTTTCCTTATTTTTCAATTGTAACTTATATTACTGATAAAAAAATCAACTTATATTGTCACTTTCTCTGTTGTATTTTAATAGGTGCATTGAGTTTATTTTACCATTATGATAGCATTTTCCACCCTCCATCTAAGCACAAAAATTTGCTTTCGGTATTCTGGCGAAAATATATTCGTTACAAATTTTAAATCTATAATATATTTTATATTGATTATTTTTAAACTGATATATATTTAATTAAAGAAGAAAGATTAATCTATAACTAACTACACAAAGAATTGTTATTAACAGAAGTAATTATGATAAAAAAAACTACAGCTAGATTCGAATATACATAAAAATATTTGATTCTATATTTATTTAATTTTGTTGATTTCATAAAGAAATCAATATATTTCTTATATTATTTTAAGTTAGTTGACACTTTGAATTATATTTAAGGTAAAAATGGAGATTATATATATATATATATATATATATATATATATATATATATATATTACATTTGAGTGAAAAACAAAAAAAAAATTAAAACATACTTATTATTATTCTTAGTTAAATTAATGACTTTTTAATTATGATAAATTAAACAATTAAGGTTTATATCATTTGTTTAGAGACTAGAAAGGGTAAAATAATAAATATGAATGATAAAATGAATTAGTTTATTTCATTTTTATTTCTCACCTCTAATTTATATACATGTGAGATTAATTGGTTATCATAGTTAAAACTGATTATAAATCTTAGTTTACTCTATTAAAAATTGGATTGACAAATGATAGTCGTTCCGCAAGCGTACGGAGTATCGCGTAATAAAAAGTTATCGTTCCCACAGAGATTATGCTCAAGTACCAGGTACACAGTGATTCAATTATCTAAATAAATCGTTTCAAATAGAATATATTGCAAAATGAATAGAAAACCAAAAACTATTGACAAGAGACTCAAGGGGAAAACTTTCTTAGGAGTCGGTAGGTTTATATGTTACGTATTCAATTTAAATCAATTCGTTTCCCATTATTCAACTTCTATTTCTAAGGTGAATTTTCCTTAATTGATTAATGTATTCCTCTTGAAACCCCACTAACATACCTAATTACCGAAGAACAACGTTCAATTCGTTAAGTAGATCCTTTACGCTTTATGAAAATCCAATTACCCCTCAAAGAGTTTTGTCTACTTTCGTAACCCAAATCCCTAGGTTCAATTCCATGCTTTTCTAATGATATATCGATCTCTCAATCATCCACATCATTTAAATTCATCTAACCTTATCTCTAAGCCATTAGAAGCTTTAGGTTCTCATGGAAATGAATAGAAAACAGAAATTCAATAACAGAGAAATTCAAAGTATTCAAAATTGATACATAAACATATTCCTCCTAATCCCAAGAATGAGATTTAGTGTGCCATAGAAATGATGATTACAATCCACAATAAAATAAATCAAACCCTAACATAAGAGAAAGTAGAAATGAGACAGGAAGTTAGAGAATAGAAGAGAAGTTCTCACTATCTCCTCTGTAGCTTCTTCAATTTCCCTCTTGATAGAAGAAATCGTTCTCCCTCTTTTGCTCTGGTTTTCTTCAATTTTCTTTTTGGGAAAAACGCCTCTCGTCTTCGTCTAGTTCTTGTGCTCCGTAATTTCTTTTTTATATCTTTTATGCTCAAAAATTGCTCCTCTAATTTAGGGAAAATGTAAAACGTGCAGAATCCACTGGCAGTGGGAAAAACCCATGGCCAGTGGATCGTGACAGGGGCCCAATACTCATTTTCCAGTGAAGTCCACGGCCAGTGGGAAAAACCCATGGCCAGTGGATCGTGACAGGGGCCCAATACTCATTTTCCAGTGAAGTCCACGGCCAGTGGGAAAAACCCATGGCCAGTGGATTTGTTTTACGCCACAGTGCCATTTTCCAGTGAAGTCCACTGCTAGTGGATTTCACTTAACTTCACCCAAAATGCTCTTTAACAATGCTTTAAGGCCATGAAGTGTTCTTTTCTCTTTTCTTTTACAATGCAATCCAATGTTTTATTTTTGTGCTTTTAGTGGTTTGAATTCCTTTCCATCCAATGCTTCCTCAAATGCTTCCCGTTTTCATGTTTATAAACCTATAACAAAGCTATTCCTGCAAAACTGAGACACCCGAATAACATGTGTGGAATGAAGGAAAACAATTGGAATTAAGGGGAATTCTAACACAAATACACTAGAAAACTCAAATAAAGCGCCATTGAAAATAATGCAAACTAGACACTTATCAACAAATTAATAGGCTGATAATATTATATATATAATATTATTATTATTATATATATATATATATATATATATAATTATATAAATAATTTTAAAGTTTTCATTTTTTAATTCATATTTCTATTAGATAAATCAAAAAATTATTATATTTATGTGTTAAAATATTTAATTATAATTAATAATTTTAACTTAATTAATTAATATTTATATTTTAAATTATAATATTATAATATATTTATATATTTTAATAATATAAAATAAATAAATATAATTTTTTTAATTATAATTTTTTTTATTTTAATATATAAATATTTTTTTAAACATATTCACAGACGAACCTTGTCCATCTTAACAAATTAGACAAAATAAATAAAATTAAGTTCCGGAATAAAATTATCAACACATATTAATTTTTTTAAAACGAGCAGACCTCACCCGAATCCTCTTTATCATCTTTTACAGTAATTAGAGATGATGTGATGAAAAAAATAATTATAAAAATATACTAACAAAATATTTATATCTTAATAAAAATAGAGAAAATTCATTATGTACGGACAAGGCTAGAGGCAGAAATAAGAAAAAATATTTTATTTTTAATTAAAATTTCTCTTGACTTTCATTGCTTTATTATTATTATTATTATTATTATTATTATTATTATTATTATTATTATTATTATTATTATTATTATATAGTCGTTAATAAATTTAAATAAGTTTTATAAACAATTATGAATACACGGTTATGATTATTAAATTGTACGTAATATTTTAAGGGAATATATAAAATTAAGTAATTAACCCACTTGTATTAGTTAATATTTAATAAATTTCAACAATAAAAAAATGTTTCACACTTAACCACTAAAATTGAAGTATATCTACACAAATTATAACTTATTTAACTTATTTTTCATAGTTAATTTAACACTTAATTAATCAGTTAAAATTTTAACTTATCTTAACACTTAATTTTTTTTACTTATCTTAACACTTAGAAATTTAAAAATAAAAAATGTATTCACAAAATTTATTTTGATTAAAAATTATAAATAATTACAATTAGTGTTGATTATT